GGGGGGGGGGGACAACACAAGCGAGACACCAAACACCTTCGTTGGGAGCTGATTCGACACACTCTCTCAGCAGCATCTTGAGGGAGGGCGAGGAGGGAGGGAGACAAAAAAAGCACGAAACGATGCTCCTTTGTTGGAAGCACGTTCGGCACTCTCTATCCCAGGAGCATACTGGCTGCGAAGGGGGGGGGGGAAACCAAAGCGCAAAAACGCAATGCCTTTGATGGGGAAAACTACATGTTCTAAGAGGGGGTTACATATTTTTCATTGGTGGAGATAGTCGGCAACGGTGCTTCGAATTCGTGGTACGCGTACGGCCTAAGACCGTAGTCAACATACGTGACACACACACACACGCCTGTTCTAACCCGCTCTTAGACGTGATTTTCATTGGTCAGCCAGATGTCATTTCATTGGACAGCCAGTAGCCGTGGAAGGAGCCAGTTGCCGCGGAAGATGCTAGCTACGCGAACACACACACAAACCTGCCGAAAGACTGGCGGCAGTTCATTGGTCAGTGGGCTAGCGTGATCGATACCACTAGCTAAAAGAAACAGACAGCAAACGCAGGCACACAGATGAAAAACGCCTTGAGAAGTGTTTTCAGCTTTTCAGCCGCACTGAGACTGGCGTCATTTCATTGGTCAGCGTGCTAGGGCGTTTTTTTTTTTTCTTGTCTTCATTGCAAATCAGCGCTCACAGCACTTGTGTCGTTTACTCCAACCCGTGGTAAAAAAAAGTGCGGGCGATGTTTACCACAAAAGACAGAAAGGCTAGCAAAGGCACACGCGGCCTTCAGAAGCGGTTCCCGTTTTTCAGCCGCACCGAGGTTGACGTCATCCAGTTGGTCAGCGAGTCGACATCAACAGTCATTAAAAGCAACAAACTTCCTTGTCGAGCCTGTTTCTCACAGGGGAGATATCGCTGTATGCTCCTCGGGCAACCGTAGCATAATAACTTTGTTGTCACTACTGTACAACACAATTAATTCAATGCCAATGTACCATGAAATCTTTCTCTTTCGAACAGATGAATTTGATGTGTTCTTCGTAAAAAAACAACTAGCCAACCTGATGGTGACAGTCCCGGTGCCAGCCGTAGCGATGTGAGAGAGCTGCTCCCAGTGACCGCGAATCACGTCTGTCGCCAAGGAAACCAGCAGCCAGAAAGCCACGTCCTCGCGCCCGCCGGCCGTCCTCAGGAGGAAGAGCGCAACCGAGTTCATTCCCTGCTCTCGCGCCAGAAACATTCCGCACGGAGGGCGCGCGGGGTCATGGTTGATTCACTGAGTTCTTTCCCCGCTCTCAAGCCAAAAAATACAGTACGTAAGGCAGAGGGTGGGGGGTAAGGTCATCTGTTGATTTGCCGACTTAATTCCCGGCTCTCCAGCCTTAACTATGCCGCATGTAACGCGTAAGAGGGCGCTGGGGTCATCTGTTGATTCACTGAGTCCATTCCCTGCGCTCAAGCCACAACGTACAATACGTGAGGTATTGAGAGGGCGCACGGGTGGGGGCGGGGTCATCTGTTGATTCGCAGAGTTATTCCCTGCTCTCGAGCCGAAGAGATGCCGTACGTTTGGCAATAGATGGGGGTAGGGTCACCTGTTGGTGTCACCCCCACGTTCGGTTTTCCGTTGGTGAGGTTCCAAACACCTTGGCCCAAGGCAGCTCGCCAATCATGCTTGCCGGGGGTTCGAAAAAGACAAGTTGTGTATCTCTACGTGATTGCTCTTGTTTATTTTCTGGTTTTGGCAGGGCCTACAAATGTAAATACTTTGGTTTGTTTGATATTTTCCTGGTTTTGGAACGAGAACAAAAGAGAGAGAGCGCTCGTACCTGGCAGTAGGCCGTCCTGGGCTCCTTGAGAGCGAACGCCCTCAAGACCCGCCGCATTCTCTCCCGCTCCGCGCTGCTCGAGACGTTGGTCCGGTTCACGTCCGACCGGATCGTTTCGAGGGCGCGAGCCGCCAGGGAGTAGTCTTTCGCGGAGCCCCCCCGGCGGCACCAATCTGCCTCGTCGGTAACGCTGACGAGAGCGGCGTATTGCTCCCGATCTTCGGCGATGGATGCCTGCCCGTTTTGGGTGGGTTGTTAGTGCTCTTGTTGTTCTTTTCTTCGCATTAAAAACGTTCCGTTCTCTCTACCCAGTACCTTCTTCTGTCCGTCCTAGTCGAGCACTTGACGTGATCGATTCCCATGGCCACAGGCTAACTTACCCAAAAAAGGTGTCCGAAAACAAGCGCATGCAAGTAATTAGCGCCCGCACTTTTGTACCCGACAGTCGAAATATTCGAAATCTAAAAACTTGAGCAAGTGCAGTCGTGGCTCCGATATTAGAGGTTGGTGTGACAAAGGCCCTCGACCCTCTCACATCGGAGCCCCCTGTTATAGGGTACCCTCTTGTATCGGAGCCCCCTCTAATTAATAACCTTCGTGTATCGGAGACACGGCCTGTACGCAATTAGTTCCCGCACGTTTAAAACAGGCAGTTGCCTCGGAAACTTCGCGAAATCTAACAGTGAGCAAGTGCAGTCGCGGCTCCGATCCAAGAGGGTACCCCATAAGAGGGGGCTCATATGACCTGTAAGTTTTTAGCGCCCGCATTTTAAAATCTGACAGTTGCCTAGGAAACTTCGCGAAATTTAACAACTTGAGCACGAGCTGCGAGTCCGGCTGAGCACCTCTACACGAAAACCTACATATAACGGCCATTTGGCATACCCTTAGTAACGCAAAAAAACAGCCTCGGTCAAGACCATTGAGGGTCTAAAGTGCGGTAGCGCCACATATTGACTGTGTTTGTGGCACATCGGATCGGGAATATGTAGACACTCCAATGTGAACGAAGGCGGAGAAGACTCTGCTCGTAGCCTTCCTCATGTGTGACCCCGGGTTGGCGCGTCCAGAAAAAATTGTGCCGAAAAGAGTAGTAAAAGAGATTTGTGGTTAGCAACTACTGGCATCGCTGATAAAATTTCAGTGAATAGGTAAAAATAGGCTCTCAATAAGCCCCGTGTCCAGCCGGTTTTCTTCCCACTCACTCTGTAAAGACTGCTGTGGTTATCTCGAATGCGAAGTATTTCATTGGTTGTATATATTCTAGAAAGACCGACGTCCAGGAGAAAAGGGTGATATACTTCCTCTGTATCATAAGTCTGGTCTGTAATGTGCGTGTAGTAGTAAAGATACTTACACGTTGACGATTAGCCTTTGGCTGGGTGCGTTAGAAAGGCAAGACATATGCAAAGCTGACTAAAACAAAAAAATCGAAGACCGTGTTACACACAAAAATTAGGTCAAAATATGCCCATTTTGGCCTGTTTTGAGTTTTTTTTTTAGAATTTCTTTAGAATTCGTGAGATCAGTCGTGATTACCACCCCCCACACACTATGCAAACGATGCATACGCCCCCACGTACCCCCCCACATCGCCCCAAGGGCGGCGAGCTTTCAGTGGGCCGCCGCATTGCAATTGTAGTGGAGGCTGCGCTGGCTATTCCGCCGGGCCAAGTACGGATACCCAAGGGGGGTTAGGCTCAATGCCCCACGTACCCCACCCCCCCCCAAAGGGCAAAATATGGCCGTTTTTGGGCCGATTCAAAGCTTTCCGGCAGTTTGGTCGCATGTTCAAGCACCAGCTTTAAAAAAAAAAATGTTTTCTTGCTAAAAAAACGCCGTAGAATTCAACAAAAAAAACGAAAAACAGATCGGACACCGTTATGGCGGCGTATAAACCTAACAGACCAGACATATGATACAGAGGAAGTATATTCTAGAAAGAACGACGTCCTGGAGAAAAATGGTGACAAACAATTAGGTTCGAAATCGGATCAGATGACGGCTCGCGCATTCTCCGGTAGATGTGGGCGCTGTTCCTAGTGTCAAGCATTGTTATCAGCCTCAGTTGGTGTACATATCTTCCCACGGTTGTCCTCGCACCCTTCCTCCAGGCAAGCGGAGGGGTAGTATCATAGTCGCATAACCTTCCGCGTGAAGCACTTCCGCTACCACACGCACTCCCAAAAGTGTGTTGTGCAAAACCTACGGGCAAACACAAGCCTTGTGCGCCAGCAGCGCAAGGGGTCTGGAATCTTACGCAAACATACGGAAACCAAGCAGCTTTGTGGTGTCAGGAATCTAATGCAGACCTCGAGAAAAAAAAAAAACTCTTTGTGCGCCGCAGCTTCATAGGGGTACCATACGCAAGCCTACAGAAAAAAAGACAACATCGTGCGCCGCTTCCGAGAGCAGCATCAGGGGGTGGGATTATCTTCACGCAACCTACGAGAAACAAACAGCTCCAGAGGGTGTGGGATCTTCCACAAACCTACGGAAAACAAGCAGCTTCAGGGGTGTGTGCGTGTGCCATCTGACGCAATCCGACCAACCTTGTGCGCCGCTCCGGAGAGTAGCATCCACATCGCGACGCGGAGGTTGGGCAACAGGGGCACCGGCGCCATGGCCCTTGCCGGCAGCGACAACTCCAGGTCCACCGGCACCCTGATCAGATACTGGGCCACGCGAGAGTCGACCCCGGCCAGTCTTCCCGCCCCCTCGCAAGGTGGAAACCCCAGGAAGGCTCTCACGTCAGCCTGCACGACGACGTCTGATTGGACAGCGCTGATGGCGAGCCTGCGGAGGGCCACCTCGAGGGCCACCCTCCGCTCCTCCAGAAACTCCTGTGAAATTTCCGCACACGGCGCGAAGACAGGAGCGCGCGCCGGAGGGTCAGCGGCGCTCCCACGGACAGGTGTGGTATCTTGCTTCACCTACGGAAGTCTCAATGTTCCACCGACAACTGTCCGGGACGTGGTTCGTGCGTTTCGAGCCTCGACCTCTTTCGCAGGCTTGCGTTGTAGAGCCCAGATCGTAGTCGCCGGCTTTTGATTTTGGGCTGTGATCTCCTGAAAGTAGCGGGCTCTGAGCAGGACCTCCCTTTCCTCCATGGCGCAGTTGCGGCGTTTCTCAAGTTACGCGTCGGGTGTACGTTGAATGGCATCATATCAGCCAAAAAGGTAACAAGAGAAGATTCAATCATTTGAGCAACCACCACATCTGTTCCAAATAAAAGTCAAGTCTCGATCAGAAGCGATTGGCCTGACGTTGAAGAACACCGCATCAGCACCAAACGTAGCAGAAGTTCCAATCATTCAACAATACCACGCTGTTGCAAACGTACGAGGACATGTATTCATTGAGTAACCGCATCTGTTTTATGTGAGAGAGGACGTTCGGTCAACAGCAAACAGCGGCTCACCGGCGTCATGCTGAGGAACGAAATACTCCGCCAGCTCTTGGGGGGTATTGGCGCATGCAGGTCGATCGGGAGGTGCTCGTATAGCCTCAAGAAGTCCGAATATCGTCGCAACACGAACCAGCTATCCCCTCGCTTCCGCTTGACCTGCAACAATAAAAAATAGCGGCATGCAGATAAAGGTAAGGATTGTTTGCGAGAGAAGATGACGACCAAATCCGAGGATTGGTTTGGAGGGACAGAAAAAATGCGGCAAATAGGTACAAGTACTGTCCACGGACTTTGTGGTGCAGCATTGCTTCCCCCAAAGGATCTCAAAAGCAACTTTTCACCCAGAAAAACTATGGATGATGGTGCAGCTCGCTTGCTTCAATAGATCTTTCGACGCGGTCGCCCGGGGAGCGTAGCGGCTAACCTCGTTAACCTACCCTACTGCTGTAACAGGTGGATTTCCGATCATCTCGTCTAGAGTGTAGAGTGACAATAGAAAAATTGCGATGTGCGGCGGAAAACGACTGAATCGTGAGTGTGCAAACTTCGACCGAACGGCCCACGAGAAAAGGGGCGGCTGAATCCTTGTTGCAATAAAAACTGAGGAGGGCACCGCGGAGGAAGGTGGCGCACGAAAAATAAACGACAATCTCAATCGCGAATTTCCTTCTGAGTGACCCCGACTGATACACGCCTAATATACTGCAACACAACACGCCCCTGTAGCGGTAGAATCAGAGGTAAACCGAGGCTTCTTTCAAAGCACGGAACTGGTGTCGTTTGCGACACATGCACCACATACCCACAATTCAATAAAATGCCATGATCTGGGACCCCTTCGCGACGGGGTCCCCACTCAAGGCTTACGACGGGTCCCAGATCAAGGCCTTTGGAAGCATGTTCTTTCAGATCAGGGCCTTTAGAAGCACCTTCTTTTGTCATCCGCACTGAGGCTGGCGAGTTTTTTTTGCTCAGCCGGTTAGCTCGCTCGATGCGGCTACAACAACGAAACCACACCCACCTGCAGCTGGTACTCCGCGCAGCAGATGGTCCCGGACACGCGGACTACCTGGAAAAACACCGCGGAAAAAAAAAACACGGGACAGCGGAAACAAGACAAAGTAGGGTATTCACGGGATTTGTTGACGCCAGTAGCGGCTGTTTAGGTCCGACCGCAAGTTGAACCGTAGATCCGCACACGGAATGTGCCACACACCGAATCCAACCTAACCCTAATCCTGCCCCTCACCCACACGGCCTAGCGGCCACGAGCCGGGCGAGAACAAGGTTGCGCCGCCTTGTCGGAATGCGGAACGAAGAGAGAGAGGGCCATGGAGAGGAACCCACCGCTAGAACCAACGCTCCACCGATCACAGGGCGCCAAAGCCCGTAGATGGTTAACAGGCCGCAATGACTGAGACGAATTTCAATCAAACTACGAGACGCGCCACCGCTCTTCGACCGCTTCTGTAAAATCGATCTAGGGTCTGTGGTACCTTACGCAACCTCATGACATGAAGTATTACCGTAGGTTGCACAAGATACCACTCCCTCTGGACTGACTTTCAAAGCTCATTACTCCACGAGGAAGAAGAGTATGCCAAACTCAACAAAAAACGTTTTCGAAAAGCTCTCGACGAGACGGCTGCTCCAACGCCGTCTATCAACCGCTCGCACCTCGCAGATTTTTTTGGTTTGGGGGGCATTTTTTTTCTGACGCCCGCCCGCGCAGGCTGACAAAAAGACACGCCCTTTGCGGGTGGGTATCGTGTAGGATGGCCAAAGTAGGGATGTCCTCTGTATGTATTTCGACCCAGCGGAGTGCGTTCGGCACCGTTGCTGCTCGTTCTACCGACCAATCGAGCTTTAATAACCGATCCAAAGGGTGTGGTATCTTATACAACCTACAACTAGTACGGTACTGAACGCAACGTCCAGGTTGCACGAACCTACGACACGGGCAACTCCCATCGGGAGAGCTAAAAATGTTCTTGAAACTCGGTAATCGACGTGTTCGTCATGATACCTGACTAACAACAACAAACAGGAACCATTGTTTTTGTTTTTTGTTTGTTTCTCTCCCATCATTGGACTCTGCCGTCTGCCCCTCTGGCCCCTATCCTCCACTTCTACTGGCTAGACGACCCAACCGGGGTCACATAGGAGGGGGGGGTTGGACCCCCTCCTGCGGTTCATGCCTGAGGTATTTTTATCGCGAGAAGGGT